ATTTAATGAAACAAGCATGATGAAATCCCTTTGTGGTCCACATGTGCTTCTTGGAATCATCAGCTAGTCTGAGGCCCTATAAATGGGAACGTATCACATCATGGTTTTGTATGCCATTCTGTCAGATCAGGCTATAATTCAAAACCCTGATCCACACCTGATGGACAAACACATGCATAAATTTCTAGCTCATTGAATTTATTAGAGATGCTCAGAAGCAACAGGGCAGCTGAAGGACCTAAGATAATATCAGACATAGATCAGTAAGGCTCAGTTTTCAGCTAAGGGCCAGACATGTAGCTCTTTGTTCTCCTCTGCTTGCCAAAGCCTGACAGAAACAACCACTGTACGGATTCAGGTTCCCACTCTCAAGTAGCATTCACATAATCTGCACCTGAAACATTAATTTGACCCAATTCTGTCAAAATCTGATGTTTTAGGAAGGCATCTCATGATACATGTTCTCCTCTTCACATTTTTTTTAAGTAAATGAATGCAGGAGTAAAGTGAAGACAGAGCATTCAGAGAAATACAAATCATAAACATGCTTAGTGAGAGAGATTATTCTGGATGATGCCTCTGCATTTTGAAATTTCACTCACCTGAAAATTTACAAAGCTCAGAAGACAAGATGTTTGTTTCCTGAGCTCTGCCGTTAGAGCAGTACCAAACAAGAGGTAGAGGGAGGCAACTCTGGTCACAAGTCAATAATGACCTATAGGTGACCTTGGGTGGCCATCAGAGGACAGCAAGTAGCTGAATAGGTAGTCTCAGTGTGGAAGTGGTCAAGCATTCGGTGAGTCCCAGAATCAGAAACAAATGAATGGAAAGGAAGCCGGTTAGCTTAGAGACTTTCCAAGGCAGCTCTCACAATTGCTAATGTGGATTGCCTATTTTCCAGTCAAGTAACAGAATTCTAGATGTACGGATTGTTCACCCCTTTCCCTTTCATTGAGGTCTAATACCCTAAAACTAAGTCCAAAATCAGCTTGAAAATAAGGAGAGAAGTTTCAAAACATTAGTCTGTAGTATTTTACATGCAAGCAAAAATTACTGTCACAAAAGACATAGATTTTGATAAGATACTGCTACACAATGCACTAAAATGGTGGGAAATAACAAAAGAGGAGCTAATAGAATAGAGCCTTTCAGGAACTGTAAATAGTTGGGGTTTTTTTTAAAGCTAGAAATACCTTTTTTCTGTGGTGAAGGTAGCATGGCCATTATGAACATGTCAATGTAAACACCAGAAAGGAGAAAGCAGCATCAAAACAAGATTGTAAGTGACGATATAATAAAACCCACTCCTTCCTACACACACATGTGCATTCATGCCTGACTGCTTTTAATTTAAATATAAGGAAAGAATGGCAGTCCTCTTGGAAGAGAGCAACAGAAAAGGAAGATGGTTTCCTGATGCCATGTGACTGTTTACAGATTTCATCTTTTCTCTTCCACACCGAAATGAGTCTGAGAGGCTGAAGACCCCCAATGAACAAAGTGAGTAGCCCCGGCCTGTCAGACTGCCTGTGCTCTGCTCTTCTCATGCTGACCCTATTAGATGTGACTATTAAAAAGCAGCACTGGGCCATGTCAGCTGTTGGGTGGGAGGCTGCCAAGGCACACATCCATGCTGCTGGCTTTTCAAAGATTGATAATGATCCTGTGCAATACTTTTGTCCTTTACCCCAGGCAGTTCTGCACAGGGGTCAGTTCTGGGGTACTACATACTCGTCTCGTAGCATGAGGTGTAAAACTAAAGTCCTTATTGCCGTGGCCATTAAAAATCCCACAGCACTATTTACAAGTATGGAAGCAATTACAGCAGATTGGAAGTGGCCAAACTGGTAATTCTCTTCTGCCAACATAAATCCTCCCACTGTAACTGAATGTGGATTTTTTTTTCATCTCACAGCATAAACTTTAAAGTGTTGCTGTAAAATGCTCATTAGCCAACAAATCTCTTTATGGAGTAGCACTTGCTTTACAATAGAGGGTGAAAGGAAGTTTGCTCTATGGGTTGTGAGACAGTGAGGATACTTTAGGATAAAAGCTCCAACATATCAGTTTGCTAGAGCAGAAAATTAATAGAGATAGATTGCTTTTTAGTGGCATTTGAAACTATCTGCCTCTTCATCTACCAGCAGCTCTTCTTCTCAGACTGCTTGCACTATTGTACTTTATTCTCTGACACATTGGTACAAGATGACACCTTGGATTTTTAAGCTTTTCCCGTTAATTAAAAGACTTGTCCTCCCAAAAAGCTGGGTAGAAGCTGACAGCTTCAGTCTTAAATTTGACTTATGTTGACATAGCTTTCAGGCGCAGAGGTTTTTCCTCTACTTTGCTTTGAACCCAGCAACTGCATTTCTGTGAATTTCTCTGTGTGATAGTTTGGACTAATGACAATTCCAGAGAGCACAAAAAGAATTGTCTAGATCCCATTACAAAATTACTCCTAAACAAATCTGTAAAAGGCTATGATATAACAATTCATGGGTTATCACTGCCTGATCTGCTTTACAATTAAAGAGAAAATAAACATATATATTCCTTAGCACAACACTGTTGGATAAGAAAAGATTAATTCCTTTCACTTGCACATCTTGCCACCATCTAAGCCCCCGTTACTTCTTCCTGTAGGATAGAAAGATGAGTCAAGTCACAGTTGCATCCCAGAAGTACCAAATCCTGTGCTTACACCCAGCACAGGATTTGGCTGCAATTTTAAGTTCATAATGTGAAGCTGATTGGTGCTGGTCCCTCACAGTAAGAAAATGGATGTTGGGAAGGAAATTAACTCTAAGACAGAGATGCAGATTTGGCAGAGCACTCCTTGCTGAGCTTAGTGTCAGATTTCCTAAATAAAGATAGAATTAAGCAAACTCCTGTCTGAGAAATATCAACTTCAGAGAAACCCTGGTAGGTGAAGGTCTTACAGAGTTTATCAGTTCTTCACGCTATGTAAAGTTGTTTATGAGGTTTCCATGCATATGCTTATTCCCACAGTTACATACTAACAAGTTTTTCATCAACTTGAGTGAGAGATGAGAGAAGCTTCAAATGGCTCATGCAACTGAAGAGCACACCACTGTCATCTACCTGGGTACTTTCACCACATATTAGTATTTTACAGCTTCCCTACAGATCCCACTGAACTTTATCAAGCCAGGATTTTAATTTACACCCACAACTTCATTTTGCTTTACCTGAAATAGAAAAATTGATTTTTATAATTTGGCTTAGAGAAATAAGAGCTGTTCTTTTGTTTGGTTCAGCTTATGGAAATAATTGCATCTCCTTAGAAAGAGGACAAAGAGAATTCAGCAAAAAAAAAAGCACTTTGAAACTGTATTGCCTGTTTTTGAGTTATTGTTTGAGCTCCTGTTGCAAAAGCAAGTGAATTCAATAGCTTCTCAGTTTCAACAGTCTTTGGATCAGGTTCTAAAGGGTTATTCTTTACATTCCTTCTAATACTGTGTCATACTCAGACTGCAGAGCCAAAAAAAGGAAATAAGTTTATGCATTTAGCTTTGAATTTAGAATGGGATCTTAATTAGCATTCACTTTCAGCTTAATTCCAGTCACAGAAAGTTTTTATCCTTAATAGGGGAGCAAAAGGTAAGCTGAGCCATACCACTTCTCGAAATCTTATCCATACATCTTTCTGATAGAAGAACCAGTGCATGCACTGCCATCAGAACATGTAATTAGCGGCAGTATGCACAAAGAGGTAGATCCTAACGAGATGCTGCAAAAATATGTGAACCAGTTATCCGTATACAGAAGCACATGAAAAGATACTACAGAGTGGCATGATTATATCCGGGTGCCTCTGCTATAAAAAGCATTTGTATTACCCTTACTTCTCTGAATAAATTCAAATGACAGCCCCATTTCATTTCTTCATTCAGTCTGGAGGCCAGATGGCATTAGAATCATTTACTTCACCTTGTTGTGCTTAATTACTACAATCAACACACTATTTTCCAAATTAATCATAACAAAGTAATTTCATTAGTAACACAGCAGGCTGTTGAATTATTAGCATCATAACAGTTTGCAAACAATTAAACTTTATTTGAACCTTAAAAATTTGCAGAGTAGAACATTATTATAAGATCTAATGGCAGTACCATACAAATCCAGAACACAGCAAATAATCAAGTAAAACGCTGTACAATGTGAGAGTTACAATCACCTTTTAAAAATCTGCTCTCTCACCGTTTACAGAAAGGCAAGCACAATCTAAGTTAACAAAGTAATTAGCACCTTCTACCTGAGTTTTGTTTGAGTTGTATTAACTGAGATTTTCTTATCCAAAAAAGGTTATGGAATTCGCACAGATTTAGAGTAAACCATTCATCCGCGGTGCATCGCTGGTTTATTCTGAGACATTACCAGTGAGTTTCGGGACACCTTTCACGTTTTGAATTTAAGGCAGTTTATTTACTCCCCCCTAGCAATAAGCACTAAGGAGGGGGAAGCCCTAAAAGAGAATTACAGACAAAAGCCACTTGATGTCTCTGGTTGACACCACCCAGGAGAGGCCGCGCCGGGCATCCCTGCCCCTCATCGCTTGGCTAAGGACTCCCTCTCCTGGAAGAAGGGCAGAAGCGGCGCGGGACAGCGCGGAGGGGGAAGGGGACAGGGACGGCGGCGGCAGCGGGACCCGCCTCCGCCCGTCCCACGAAAATCTGCTGCCACCCAGCGCCGCGGCCGCGCAGCGCAGCGCAGCAGGGACCGCGCCGGGGCCGCCCCGCGCTCCGCACCGCGCCTCGGGAGCGGGGCAGGGCTCATGCCCTAAAAATACATGGTGGTGGTGGTGGTGGTGGGATTCGGAATTCTGTAATTAATAAAAAGCCATTTCGGTGGGCAGATTTATGGCGCTGCCATGTTAACAAGGGAGAAGGAGCGTTTCCAGCCCCGCTATTAACGCTTCACATTCTGTACACAATCCACCAGTACGCTTGACAAATTAAAGTAGTAAAAGATCTGAAGACTATAATCTATCATTTTAATGCTTCGCTGATAACACACAGAATCAATTCCAATGACTATCTCTTTAAAAAATTACAACAAAACTCGGTCCCGTTTGACGCCTATTAGAATTCAGTGTACCAGCAAGTACCACACATTAGCTGACACAGAGCACAACATCTTAGTTTACTGAAAGGATCCAAATTCCGAGTTCAGGCTGACGTTTCCTTTTAGCCCACGGTGTCCGCGGGGTCTGCCTGAAGCATAAACAGCACAAGCAGCTACACGGGGACCTGCACAGGCTCAGCAGCTCACAGGCTGGCCTGACCTGCCTCGCTGGCAGATTAAGGGTCTCACAAATCAACTGTCTGGGAGGACCCAAAAAAGTTGATCTTCCATGCTAATGGTAAAGTACATCTCCCAAAGAAGAGTATGTAAAATATTAACTCTGACTTGCCCAACCACTTCTGCACAAGTGGTAGTATTTTAGTGTACATTTTTATGTTTCAGGCAATGTTTTTGATTAGCCACAAAGTTCTGGCTTTGACACAAGAATGCAGGTAGCTGCTGCTAATTCACACAGGATGAAAATTAAGATCTCTGTTGCACAACCTGTGTCAGAATTCCACATACCAGCAAGGTATTTGACTCTGCAAAATTATCTGTAGGGTACCGGTAAAATATTTCACACTACCACAGAAAAAAATATTTATACTTGCAATTTATCTTGCATTGACTTAGCAAAAATTTTAGGGTTTAATATATTTTCGCAAATTTCCACAGAATTACCATGACAAGTCAGAATGGTACCACAGCAGTATTACCACACAGGTGCATTTATTACATCAGCAAAATAATCAAATCTTCATTGTGTGTCAACACATAAGTAATTAAAAATACAATACTAAATACATGAGAAAAATTAATCATTGGCTAAAGCATAACTTGAAAACATCTGGAAAGAGAATACTCTGAAGACCTGAAATATACATACATTTCCCTCAACTTTCTGATTCAACTGCACAAGATGTACAGTGAGCATTAAAAGATTAATGCATGCATGAATTGAGTAAGAGTTTACCCTCAAAGCTCTGCGTAATTTTTCTGAATCTGCAGAACAGGAAAAGATAGCAAAATTCCCTGAGAGAGCCCAAACCTACAGCTATACAGAGTGCTGCTGACATGTTTAAAAAAGAGCAACAGGCACTATATGGCTGCTTGTGTCCCATATGTTAATTACCATCTATTAATTTCCTAGCATTAAAATTCTATAAAAAGTGGCTAAGCAGACCATTTCCATAAAGTTATGATCAATTACAGTTTATAATGTTTAATGTTCACGAGGCAACGATCTGACTACATTCGCTGAAACCGCAAAACATGTACAGCAGAATCGTCTTCCAGAGGCTGGCTCTGTAAACTGCAGCTGCACACCACTCTTCACTTCAAGTGCAGATTTCTCCTGATTAGGGAGAGGGAAGTTGAAAGTTCATCATTAGCCAAAAAACCTCAAACATGCATGTCAAACCCTGTCCAAATATCCTTCCCCTTCCACAGTTTTCTACACAGACAGATATATACGTATTACTAAAGTAACGAAACTAAATATAAACAACATCAATTTTATTTTTTTAAAAATTTGGAAAAGGGAACACAGTTATTAAATATATAATCTTTTGTACTTTTATATTTCATATAAAACCCCAGGAAAAAAAAAGTACTTTAATTGAACCTTCAATATATTTTGCTATAATCTTTATGTTAACAGGACTCCTACAAAGGTTCCAGGAAAGACATACTTATGAAACAGAGAACAAGGGAACATATAAGCCATTACAGAAGATTGGATTAAAATGTACTTACCCAGGCCTCTCAAATATCATACATCTCCATTATGTAGGCTTTAGGCACCAAGCCAATGGTTCCCTTCATTTCTCCTACCCACCAGCCAAATCTATTGTACTCCTAATTGAAAACAATACGCAGTATTAACCTTTAGTCTGATATAAATGCAATAGAGTTTTGTATGCAACTCCTTATGTATGCTTTCCCTTATATATAGTTATAATCATTTCAACTGAAAATTAAAGCATTTTATCTTTTTGTTATAGGCATTCACATGCAGTTAGGCAAAGGCAGAAGGTAAATTTTAAAAAGGCCCGGCATACTCAAGAAAATTTCTTAATTATGGCCACGCTTCTCAAACACCTACTAAAAATAGCCGACCTCCTTATCCTCTGTTCATCAAAAATACAAAAATCTTGTCTTTGTAACTAAAATCTAATAGCATAACATTGACACATAACAATCAACAGGGATTATCTTAGTATCACAAGTTATACTCTAAGAAACCATCAACTTATTTTAAAAACTGCTTCACTCAAATGTGAAAGGAACACTATATATCTAATACATAATATCTTCCTATGGACAAAGTCTACTATTGCTTTAGGCTTGCAGGAAATTCTACAGCAGATCTCATATTCCTGACAGATGACTAATGTACTTCTGTTTCAAATATGTTTAGGCTTAGTGAGATAAATATGAAACAAAATGAATTATAATCATTTAAAGAAATAATGTCTTCCAAAAGCAGTACTAAGTAAGAGTATTGTGGTATTGTGGTATATAATTATTGTAAAAATAAAATAATGTAATACTGATATGTAATTATTGTATATTGTGTCATATAAGAGATATGAGGTATTTTAAGATCAATCCTAACAATGGTTCAATAAATTGGAACAGCTGGAATTGCACATACACATATATTGAATTACAAATGAAGCATTATTAAAACGGAGACCATACTCAAAACTGAATGATTAGCAAGATAGAAATTACTTTGGAACAAATATACAAAATACAAAATACACAGATATCTCTGATAAGCAGCATCTGCTTCCTGCTACACTGCTCTTCTGATGAGAAGAGGAAAAGGCTCTTTGAAGAATTTTGAATTACTGGTCCTACTGAGATGAAGCTACAATTTTGAACTGTAGGTAAAGTTTTTTGGTTATAAGTAGCCAAGTGGAGCTAAAGGGTTAATGGTGTTTCATTAGAGCCCGAGCTATAATGATTTTCTGCTGGCATATTTAGCCTGGTCAAGAGTTCTCTGGGGTCCTATGAGGTGCTTAGTGTACTCAGCTCTCTCTGTGCTTAACTATGATGGCCTGCTTTCATGTGGGCTTTTTTCTTTGCCTTTTTTTTTTTAATGCTTGCATGCAGGCACACACAGTTTTGTATTTTCTAATTGTGGAAGGGTGAACATTAGTCTTCAATTAAACATTTTCTCCCTTCACTTAACAATGAATCGATAATGTAAAAGATTCTATCCTACTATGCATTAAATACTGCAGTAAGTGTGATTTTAAAGGAAATCCACTTTAAAAACAGCAGGAAAACCTTCATTTATTATGTGAACGTCCAAATAAAAAAGCTGCAAAAATAATTCCACCTTCTTCCCTCTTCCACTGCAAAGCAGACTGCTGGGGATGGGTTTGGTCTTGAAAGTCCAGAGGTATCTGAACCTGATCTTCAGTACACACTGCTCTCCACAGAAGTTAATAACCTTTCCCATGAGGCTTCACATTACACCCCAAATCCTTAAAGGCGAAACAATACCCTGACACTGAGGTTTATAATCTTCCAGATCAGCCTGTTTAAAAATCTATACTTTATCTCACAATACACTGTTTAAATATACAAACTAGATTTCAAGACTGAAGTGGGAAACTGCTGAAAGGAGCAGCACTCACGTATACTACTGGAATCTCAGCAATAAATCTCTCCAAGAGAAAGCAACAAAAGATTTTAAGCTGCTACACGGAATTCGCACAGTGACTGACAAGAGTGATTAAGCAAGTTTTGCTAGACATCAGCCAAAAAAACAAACAATACATGAAATGAGGGAAGTGGCTAAGTTAAGCAGTCATTAAACTGCATATGACAAATGGCACAGAAAAAGCTTGTGGATTACATTATCCATTGAAAATGTTCCACTTAGCAACACTACATGGACTTAGAAACAATTGTTTTTAAAGAAACAATTCAGATAGCTCAAATTAAAATTAAAAGTATGCTGCTCTTTTGAAAACTTTCTGGGTTTTGCTACTTACTAATACACCACTTACTGCTCTGGCATGAAGCTAAGTGAGAAGATGAAATGAATGTTGATGTAACAGACTAGTAAACTAATTTAAGGATTCACTGCAACCATTATACCATACAGACAATATTGCAACACAGAAGCCTTTACTTTACATTACTATTCTTTGCATGGATCTCAAGAGCAACATGAATCCCAATTAAACTATCTGCAGTCTATAGAAGTCTGAACAAAAATACAATGCAGATACCTGGCTATCAAGAACATAAAATCTTAATATCTGCTTTTAGAATAATTAGATAGAACTCCCTTTTAAACTGATTGAAGAATAGACATTTCTCTTTAAAACTCCTAACCTCTCCTTCCTATCCTCAGTAACATGAAAAAGTGCTTAACTAGTGAGGCAGATAAACAGCCCCCCTAGTCCTTTCTTGAAGTCACACATAAAATCCAAATTGATGTATTGTTTCTATCAATGTTATAAATTATAAACTCCTTTGCAGCAATATAATTTCATTAATACACTGCTTTTGTGAGGTTCATATGTCTATCACTGCTGCTTAAGATGTGTAGAATAAAACTCTGAAACCCACATTTGTGGAAAATAAGGATTAATATACAGAAGGATATGAATACAGGTAGGGGTTTTGTATGAATAAAAAAGTTGGGAAACACTGTGCTTTTGCAAGCACCAGTTTCAGATCTCAGGTACCACTGGGTTTACCATCTGGTATCCCTCACTGCATTCAGCTCTTAATATCACTGCTAACTTAGGCAAGCGACTATACTTCAGAAGGACTGATAAAATAATGAAGAGTCCTTTAATCTACAGGAAACCATTGTAGTCAATTTATAAGAAATATTGCATCCCTTTGTAGGATGTGTAATTATTTTCTATTAATCATGTGCTATAAAGCTACATTATGTGGTTATTCTGTTATCACTAGAAAGAGGCCTGCAGTCAGCTCCTGACAATGTTAGGTAATTACTAACACAAAGCTTCTTTCTCCTTATGTAGAAACGCTATCAAGATCCAGAGGTGCTGTGATGCTCGCTGTATGAAAATAACTCTCCAAAGAAATTCAATAACTGCAAAATGAATTGCTCCAAGGCAAATAGAGGGATAGGGAGAGGGGGGCAGGGCCAGATCCAGCTGCCCTGCAATGAGGAGAATGCACAAGTGTGCGGCCTCGCTCTGCCATGTGACAGGGAGCACATTTGCCATAGCAGGCAATGCTAGCAGGGCCAGGGGGAGGAGGGGGCCACCACAACCCCCACCCTCCCTGGAAGACAAGCACCAGGGCAATGGAATATATTATGCCAAATAATATGAAACAACCACCTTAACAAATGACCCAATGCTTTCTAAGCTACTTCTGCATTTCCACTGTCATTGAATGGATTATTTTTTTCCCCAGCAGAAATTTATTAACCAACGTGAAGTAATTTCACAGGGCAGGAAGGAACAGGTTATGATTTAACATTTAACATGCTGGCAAAACACTCTGTACAGCATGTTAGATAGTGGGGGGTGAAAGTCCCACCAGGGTTTACAGGCTCCTTAAATGCTCTCAGCTGAACACACTGTGAGCAAATGCTTCTCCCTGTCCCCATCCCACTCATTTCACTGCACTGATGTCTAGGTATCCATGAGTTCATAAGACACTGATCATAAAACCTTTTGTACTTGGGGAAAAGCAATAGTTAGCAATACACTCCCTATTTTCTACAGATATCATTTAAATGCAAGATTTTAGTCCTCTGCAGAAGAGAATTTTGATATTTTGACATACAAAAAGAGAAAATTTTTATACTTGAGGATTTCCAAAGCCTTTAGAACAGTTCCTCTGCCTTTTTGAGATTCTCCAGATGCTTCACACCATATAAACTTCTACTGTCTTCAGCAAAAGTTGAGAACATCTAGTTCTTGTGCAATTAGTCTCTATTGTTGAATACATATGGTATGTTTTTTCATGTTTGTGGGGTGGGTTTTTATTTGTTTGGTTTTAAAAAAGAGTTGCTGAAAAATTATCATTGTGTTTCAATGCCTTGAAGAAAAAAATGGAGATGTATTTTAAAAAAACCACAACAAAAGTATATGAATTCAAGATTTTTCTCCTTCCTTCTTCTAGTGGCAGTGTGAGTAATACTAATTCATGGGCTGAACACCTGCACATTTTAAAACTGAAAAGCAAAGCATATCAATAGTCTTGTTTGGGGTTAAAATAAGTAGCATCTACTATCAAGCTAAGTATGTGTCAGAAGTAGGGATAAATTTTTTGCAAAGAACATTCTAGGGTGTCATTTTAGCAAGATAATATTTTAAAATGTCTCCAATTCATCCAGGAGATTCATACTAGCTAAAAAGTTTTAGAACTTCCTTTGGTGTAATTGTTGAATGATACACTATCAACTAGGGAGCAGTTTTGGCACAGAACAGCATTTTCTCTAAAAGCAGAGAATGACAAATGCCTTAAATAACTGAATGAGACTTCTTCACAGGTAGTAGAGTTGTTTTAAGACAGCAATAAAATGGTCATCTTTGAAAATATAAGCACTAAATTTATTGTATGGTTGCATTATTAGGTTTTATTTCCCACAATGACATGAGAGAAAATATACAGCAATTAAAGATTTCCAATATAAATCAAAGTAAGCAGACTGAGTTCTGAACCAAAACTGCTCCCAGAAAATACCCTGGAACAATAGGAAGGCCATTTTATTTTCCATTAGACGACACATTGCCAACTTTTCTTCTAATCTGATAGGTAAAGGCTTACATATTATCAGTATGCAAAGCAACAGAGCTGGAGTCACTTGGCATTAGTTCCAACCAAACTTCTGTTTAAAGGCTTTCACTATTGTCTTTAGACATATACTTATTGTTCTCCCACCCCCACCCAGAAAGATCAAAACTAAACAAGCCAGGAAACAGGCAATGTACAACTGAGTATTCATTTTAGTTCTGATTAGAAGCATCCTACTGAAGTGAATCTCCCAAAGCTCCCACCTTCCCCCCACTGGCTCCCTTTGCAGACCTCAGAGCACACACACCACATTTATTTCAGATGAAGCTAAAATGGAACATGCTCCAACCATGAATGTGTTCTCATTCCACAAAACCAGGCTAGACCACTTTGGACATCCAACAGCTTTGGAAAAGTGTGGTGTGGACAGCAGGGCTCAAGCACTGAGTGCTTCACTCTGCAAATCTGCTCCTAGCGCTCCCTATTTGCTAGAGGAGCCATAGGCAATGGAATAGGAATTATGGATCTCAATATGATGAGCCAGAAAACAACCTGAAAAAATAAAACACTCAGGATTTTAGTATGTCTTTCATATCTTTTAGAAAAGACTGAATAAATATATTTTATAAAGATTATACAGGTAGTGAACAAAATGTTTGCAGTGATTCTGAAACAGCTGCATGGTTAAGTTGCACCTTTATTTCATAAGCACTAACCTGAGCTGTGGACTTTCTTTGTCTTTTTACTAGGCAAAAAGTACAGATTGAGATGTGAGCATTTTAACATTTGTTGTATTGAAAGAACAAAAATCTGCCACACATGAAACCTACAACCACTGAATATATACATAGCATAATCTAAGCACCAAGTTAACACTCTACTTTCATGAAAAATTCTGGAGCAAAAGGTTGTCATAGATGAATCACAGATACCAGAGTGAGCAGCACTGGTGTGCAATGAAATAATAATAAGGAGAATTCCAGTTTAAGATATAATTTCTGATTTTGAAGTATTTGCTATTTTAATACAAATATAAATAAGAAATAAATTAGTTTCATGTTAAGAAATGACAGTAATTCTACTAAGCAGCTTCCCACTAACAGATTGAAGTAAATTTTCACTATTACTTGCATTTGGCTGATGAGACGATGGAACTTCATAACACAAAACATACTCCTAAAGCAAATGAACAAGTAATGGAAGGGTTGCACTTCCATAAATTGTGCATACAAAACTTAGGAAAAAAAATAGAACTACCTCTATCCACAGTTATCATTGTTTCTGGAAATTGATTTCTTGAGTAGAGCTATGGAAGATTTATAAAAATGATTGCTATACTATGGTCTGTTTTTCCATTTATCACATGGGCTTGAAAGGAAAGGCAAGCCCATAAATGAGCAGGAGTTAAAAGCAATCATCCTTTTAGAAAACAGGTCTACAAAGTATTGCATTTCTAACAGTCAATATTAACTAACAAATGCTATTAACAAATCTCTTTATCAGTACAACTATTTTTTCATTACAAAATGGAATAAGGGTATATAGCTCTCTGAAAGTTCACATCATTCATAGCATAAGTGATAAAAGCCACTTGAATATTCCAGAATATTATAAAATACTAGTAATAGTATATCTGTACAGCTACATTAATCAATTAATCTGAAATGTTAACTACATTTTTAAATAAACTTAACAAGCACTATTGTTATAGCTCTGTTAATTCTGCTCAGATTAAAAGCTCAACTTTTGAGGGAAACTTGATAGAAAAACTTAGAAAGAAGTTGTGAGGCTTTTGGGGTTTTTTTGTAAAAGCCCACAGGACTGCTGCCACACAAAAGCCACAACTGACATAAATATTTAGAAAATAGCTTAAATAGTTTTTGAATACACCTTTAAAACAAGAAAAGCATGCTTTTCCACAGTAACTGCACTAGTCGGGCATAGGTATCTCTGTTGCCAGAGAATGAGCTCATGCTCATTGCAGTAACACTGAGTTTTGATGCTCATTTAAAAGCAAATTCTGGGGATGTGTCTTTGCATAATACTTAGCTATTTTAGGAAGTAAACACTGCCAAAGTGAAACTATGCTCATTTGTCTGAAAGACATTTAGCTAGAAACTTACATGTAACATATTCCTCCTCTTGCTTTATTTAAATTGTATAAATGCCCAAATTTGCTAAACTGGTTCATAATTACTCTGTTATACTAATGACCTCATTTCATGGAAACAAATAGTGCTTTCCCCCTAATTTCTATACAGGTATGAGAAAAGCTGGTAAAAATATATTGCTTTGGCATAACTATTGCTGGGAGAGATGAATATCTATCTTATCACGTTCATCAGAGCAGGCCATACCATTTATATTTCACTGTAAAACAAAGAACTCTTACATGTTGCACAAATATTCTCGATATTTTGTTAATGCTTCACCCTTCCTACTATAACATGGCTATACCCATACTTACTTCCTTATCAGCAAAATGTGATTTTCAAGAGTAATGTTCCTGACTGACATATGATAGAAAGGCAATAAAGCCACAGCTAGGTTCAGCTGAAGCTGAATTTATGACACCATTTTGGATGCACACACATCGCCCCCCTGTCAGTACCTGCATCTCTCATTTTCAACCACTAGATGGTGTGAAAAAATAAAAAAATTGCCTAGGATTCCTGCCGACTGCCACAAAATCCAAGTATTAATGTAGTGGATTAGGAAATATTTTAGAAGAAAAGTCTTGACCCACTTTGGGATGGTTAGGCTCACTTTTCCTTTGGTTATATTTTCACTTACTGGACAAAGAGCTCAAAAATGATTAGACCTTGAAACTGAATCAAGTGGAGGGTTAAGATAGATAATTCTCTAGCACTTTCCCCTCCAAGGACCCTAAATTCCAAGCTGACAGTAGTGGCCAACACTCATTTTTCTGAAAAAGCTGTAACAATCTTTAAGTGGAACAGGGCTGAATTTTCTGGGCTGTGTTTTGGAGCAGAAATCATTCCCACAGAGAGAGTCTCTATATATCTGGAGCAGCAGCAATCTGCTTCAAGGACCGATTACGGATTAATCACGGCATGGCAACAGGACTGTTGATATACAGAGGACAGCTTAAGCTACTGTTTTTCTATTTTGGTCCATTTTTTAAATTAAATTTCTCACTCTTTTGGGGAAGGAGTAGCTAACAATTTTTTTCACCTACAAGCTGAAGATTAAGATTTTATAGTTGCCATAATGTACCCAAAGAGCACAACCCACAAAGAGGCCAAACTCATACAGTGGAATCCATTCACTCATGGGCTTTTGGGGGGAGCGAGAGGGGGAAGAAGTGGTTATTTTAAATTAGTCCAATTCTTCAGTGCTGAATAACTGCTTGAAAGTTTGCCCAATCCACAAGCTTGATTCAGCCTTTAGTAATGCAATTCAGTTATTAGTTTAAGTGACAATGAAATACCTCAAAAGACATACATGGTCAAATTAATATTAGTAATACATCTTCTATATTTTTATATAGGACTATCCTTATATCCATAAATCTTAAATTTATTTAAAACAGAAGCTGTTACATTTATTATCCAGAAATGTAGTTAAAGGCATCACAGAAGATTTAAAGCAATTGTGACAAAACTTAATTTGAAACTAGGACAAACAGATGCCTTTATCTTTCATGCACCTACTTGTGTATTTCAGTGACCTATGATATTTTTGTACTAATTACACTGAACAACAATTAGATGGACATATATTTTATAAAGTAGTTTTTTTCATTGAGAACTTTAAAAGTGGTTTGGTTTTTTTCTAATAGGGGGAGAAAATAGAAATTTCCTCTGATTAATTGTTCAGAAGTAGACTTCAATGGACCATGATATATATATATCTTAAAAGAGGTTTTGTTTGTGTTGGGGAGGTCAAGAGAAAATGTGAAAATCAACCAACATCAACACAAAACAAAACTTCATGCCTTTACTGTTTAGTGCTAATTCAGATGAGAGAAATTATATTTCTCATTTGCTTTGCAAACAGAAATGTAATAAAAAATGCCCAAATCTGTCAGAGCAAACAAATTTGGAATCTGAGCTCTCAGAACAATAACAATCTACATACAAAGATGAAAGCATAGTTCAAAAAAACAAACCATCTTCTGTAGCAAGATCCCAAAAAAGTCAGAATCAGCAGAGTCAGGAATATAAAACAGGAAACAAAAAACATAACATACAAGATAACTTAAAATTCTCCAAGGTTAACTTCTACAAGCAGAAAGTACATTGTCTCCTGTTAAGTCAGTTAACAAATGGTAGCCAAGATCTAACACGTAAATAAACATGCTTTAAAGTTAATTCCTGTTACATGGCTATGTTTTAATTGTGATTATAGTTCATTTGACAAAATAATTAATTGCAGTGACTATCTGATTGCAGACAAAGGATTTGAAAGGGAGTGCCAATTTCCCCCCACAGAACTGTGGGAATGTGCCCTTGTGCCATGGCTCTCTTTTTACAACCATGTAGCCCCAGTAGCGTCCCATACCTTGCTGATAATGTAGATAACATCACCACGTTTAAATGTCAACTCATCAGCTTCATCTCCTGTGCAGTCCCACAAACCTTGATAGAAATTGGCATAATCGGTATTTTCGCTATCTGCAAAGAAAACAGCACCTAATTATAAACCAACCAAGGCTGAGGATAACTAAAGTTACTCTTTAAACCTTCAAAGAGTACAAAGCAATTTATTAGCACACATTTCTTATTCCTCTTTTCAGAAACAGTTCCTTCCTGCCATGAAAGTAAGTGAAAAATAAGTTTAATGTGCAAGCCCTTCACTGGCAAGTTGTATCACTGAGAGACATGTAGCTACAGGTTTTCAAAGCATTTTTCAAAGCTGCAACTTAAAGCAGCTATTTTTCCTCTGCCAGTATATTTCTAGCAAGTCATATATGTATCCCAACTTGAAACTGATAAAACTGCTAGAATATAATTAATAACGATCAGTGAAAGGAAGCTAAAGTATTTTGTGATACACTCCCCCTCTCTCTCCTGTTCCAACAAAATTAAATAGCTTCTCTGAGAACCTCTGAGATAATCCTTGATTCTTCCTTCTGAAATATTGGAGAACTTGGAAACTGTTGCTGAAGCTGCATTTCAAAAATATTTGTGTCAGCTCCAGTTTAGGACATTAAGCCCTGGCTAAACGTGCAACTACACTACAGTCATAAACTCATCCTTCTAACAGCATAAGCACAATGGATGTGCTGTGTTCAAGCTGCCATACAGACCATTAACTGATTGATTATTTAGCACTCTTTGCTCTGTAATACGGCAATAACACAGTAATAAATGCTTTGTCATACATTTACAATACAGAGTACATCTATTGAAACACAGTGCTCACACACAGCTAAATACACTGGGTGCTTCTGTTGCACTGCAAACTATTTCCTGTTTTTAATTCCATGAGAATGGAGTGTGATGAGTTAATGCAAAAAGAATGTAAGCAATACCACTAAGATGACCGGTTACATTATGTATACACTAACCAGACAGAATGTATATGTACTAATAATTTACATCACTGCAAAGCTATCTTCTAATTCTGATAACATAAATATCACTGAACTGGCTGGATCAAGGCTGTCATCTTAGTTTTGTTATATGATCCTTGAACTGCAGGCTTGCTGGTTATTCCAACATACACCAGTTACATTTGCGTGTCATTAGCACTCTACACCATTATTTATAGTTTACAATTTAACCATGATTGGTTCATTTTATTACAAAAAAAAATCTTGCTAAAATATCAAGTATCAGGAGATAGAAAGCATCACACTATAAAAGAATAGTGGTATTCAACTTGTGTTCTTCTCTATTTTGGCAAATACTTAGATTTGAATTTTAATACTCCCTGTATGAGCGAGAAGCTTGTTTTCTCTTTCTCCATTTCAGCCTGTGTTCTGTGCTATCTTGTTTGGGTGGCAATACTGTCATAAGGCTAAATATTCACAACCTTCAATTCAAAGCTGCTATGCCAGTTATCCACCATTTAATTTTCCATAAACTGGTGATTAGGATCTATGACTTGCTGCATAGCACTAGGGGGCGTTCTGGCTGCCAGGGCCCAAAATCTTCTGTCCTCACCCCAAAAGCAACAACTGATACCCATATGAAAACTCACAATCATTCAAAAATAAGAGATTTAGTTATTTTAAAATGCACAGACATTTTAACATGAAGGCATAATCAGTTTGAAATGTTGCACTTCCAAATTTTGGCCCTTACTATTTTTCACCTCATTATTCACCAATTTAGCATTAGGCAATTATAAACAGTAACACAGGCTAGCACAAAATTAATTTGTGATAAATATTAAATAGGAATCTCTCCTTGGTCATTTCTTACTATACAGATCACAGTTCCCAACTCTATGTCATAAACAATAATGTAAGTCCACATGAGAAAAAAAAATAAAAGAACTATTTTGGTATATCCCACCTCTCAAATCTTTCATCAGTTGGCTTATTGATTTTGTTTAAAACACATTACTCAGGACTTTTACTTTTTCAGAACATCACTGAAAGAAATCATGACTTTCCACACTGACCTTTACCACTTTGAGCTCTGCTCTTACCTTTATGTGCCTGAAGTAACTCCTGTTAACACTTAAGTGAGTTGCAACAGAAGGGACCCAAAAGTGGGTGAGACATGTCTCTCCTTTTATGTTCATCATGAGCATTTAATTAAGTTTTAAAGTGGAAAGCAACTCAATTAATAATGTGAACACACTGGAAAGATGCATTTTAAAATAAGCTTATTGCAACATGGAAGACTCTGACCAAAGACTGACCATGGCTCTGTGCCCTCATCTGTGAATTCAGCATAAGATAGAGTTATTTTAATCAGAAAGCCACATTTTTCAGAAAAATATATACAGTATACCAGGAGCACAGAAACAAAAAACATGGAAAAAAAGTGGCAGTGTAAGTTTGTGTACAAATATTCTGGTCTTTCAAGAAGTGTTAATTTCAAATCTGAAATCCCTTCTCATGTCTATCAGCACAAGTTTCTCCAAATTCTATAAGGGTAACTACCTATACATGAAAGACAATTGTAAATGTAACTTCAGACTTTATACACCTAAAGTGAAAAGGGCTTCATAAAACGATTCATAATGCTTACAAACACAGGTGTAGAATGAAGAAAAAAAAATAAGCTGCAAAAACCTCTGCAAAACACAAGCCCACTCATTCTTACTTGGGTCCCTTTCGGTTTGAGAACACCTTGACAAATTTTCTTTTATTGCTTCTGAAGAATGGTATAAAACAAAACCAGGAGGTCTGAGTAAAGGAATTTGGTATTTATATGGCAGTGAAATAATGTGAAGCTTCTTAAACACATGTAGTACCTGAAAACAGATGGATTTAGCATCAAGAACTTACATGTCCATTACAGTTCAAATTCAAAAGGTATTGATTTGCTGGTGTTACTCGTTACAATTACACTCTATTCTCAAACACTTCAAAATGTTGCATGCCTTAAAAATACTATGATGACATAATTGCTAAACTGAAGTGTGTTACATTTTGAAGATATGGTCACTTGGCCAGAAATACAAATAAGACATGATAAAAAAACCATTAAGCGTGTAGCTGAGGGCAGAAAGCAGTTTGGTTTTATCTACTCACTGCTTTGAAGACTGCCAATCCCAAGAAATGGGTGAGGAGGATTTTGAATAGGTTGTTTCTCCAGAAAATATTTCTTATATTCCAGGACAGCTATCTGGATGTATTACTACCCAATAGTTATCAATACTCTTCCAAAAAGAATTCTTCATGGTTTACTCCACCCATCTCTGCTTTTCTAGTGATGGTAGTAGGAACAATGGATATTTTTGTTCAATAAACAGATGGAAACACTTCAGAGTTATTTTGACAGATCAAAAGACAATGGCTGCCAGCCTCTCTGACAGTAGTCTCGGACTGGCATCTGACAATACCTGCTTGACGAAAGAAAGGTGAACAGTTCAGGTAAAAGAACCCTGAAAAATATATCACTCAAGCATGCATCTCAAATATTAGACTATTTAAAACTTAGGAATGCCCATGAATTGCTGAAGGGGAAAAATTATAATAATATTCTAACAACCATAGTAGACAGAAAAGAAGAACCAAACCACAACTTGAAAAACAAATTAATAATACATATTTCATAGGGGCTTAAGCATGCTACCCCACTGCAGCCTAAGGCAATCTGCAGGTTAATTTCTGCCCCCTACATTGTGACAATTTTTTGCAATTTCCATTTCTGAGTAAACCTGACAGAACACTAAACAGACCAAAACAAAATCAAAGTTACAACCTAAATACGAAAATGCACTACATAAAACATTAGGATAAATGTGATTGTGCCTGATTTGTTTCAGTCGTCCATTTTAACACTGATGACATGTAAGTTAGCAAACCCTACCATGGTAGTGATTTAGAGCCAGGAGTTTTATTATTTGCTTGCACATTCCTTGTGGAATGAAGGAATACATGTGAATGTTTTCCATGCACAACTGTGGTCCACTGCCTAGTATATTAAACAGCTTGCCATTCTGACTCATGTTCCTCAACTCCTGGTAAGATTTTTCAAAAGTTAATAGTGTCAGATTTGAAGATTATTTAACAACATTTGAAAAATACAAACTGTAGCCCCTTTGGGTAATTATGTGCTCAATATTTACTATCGTGAAGGCTTAAAGATGGAGGTACAGCTGAAGTTCCAAATTAATGCTATCAGAATGAGTGTCTTACACAAGTGATCAAGACTCTCAGTTTTGAGTGTCACTTACCAAACAAGACAAGCTCTGTTAAAGAATCCAGTTATTTGTTCATTCTGATGATGCCCTAAACTTCAAAAAATGCCTGTTACTTGCCCCTTTATCCCACAGTTACAAAATAAGGGCAAAACAACAGTAGGGTATTTATTTAGACTCAAACTCTAATACATCCCAAGATATTTGGTTTAATCTTTCTCACTTCCATTCTTCTGTTCCTTAAAATCAAACCCAAAAATCAACATATTTACACTGATAAAGCAAAAAGCAAAAAAAAAAAAAAAAAAACAACATTCACTGAAATAGGGATTGTAGAAATGATAATGGGTAGAAAGTTATAACAAAAAAGACCCAGCAAGCCACATTATATAATTGAAATTCTTCAGTGCTTTGGTATTTTTAAATTATTAGGTTCCTAGCAGTTAATGCAAAGCTATCCAGCAGCAAGAGTCAGCACCAAGAAGAACAGAATAAAAAGAACTCGAGTCTGTAAGTTAATTGAAGTAGAAATATGTTATGGCAAGAAAAGAGTAGGAAAAAAAAGAAAATTTTTTTGTACTAATCAGCTTGAGCTCAAGCTGAGCTTGAGCAGACCATTTGCAGACTATTTTCTCTGAGTTCAGGTTTAGTAAAGCAAGGCAATAAATTAAACTTAAGAATGTATGCACTGTTTGTGTAGAAAATCATAAAATATTCTCAAGTCAAGTCAGGTATTTATGATGCGATGCCTATCAGAAATACTCATGTCAACTCAGCCCTAAAAGTCAAACAAATGTCCAGTGTTAAATAGTGAACTATGTAAGATCAGATCACAAAACTATTGCTTGAAATGAACCTGACATCTGGGGGGAACTGCTATGGTATTTTCAATGACATTACACAAATACTAATAAGACTGATAAGGCTGTCCTCATAGCAATTAAATTTTTTCCAAAATACAGATGCTAAGGTTTTGGTTTTTTAAAAGTATGACCAATTAGAACTTCAGGAAGGTACATTAGTGGAAAAAAAAAAATGCTGTTGGCAACTTTATAATTGGATTGACCCCATGCTCCATTATGACAACACACTCTTATAATTACAGTAATGTCTAAATGAGTACTAAATATTAAGGCTGTAATGAGTCATGTTGTTTTACACATGTTTTTAGCAGAGCACAATGCTAACAGCATCTGATGGCTCGGCTCTTGTTTCCTTTCCAAGAAAAGCAACCCAAAACTCCTCACAGCAACCTGTTCCTGCTTTCCTGTATGGGTCAGGAAATCAGGCCTCTGTTTCCTCTCCACATGTTGCAACAGGAAGAGCACTGCAGAGCTACTTCCTAAAGGAACTCTTCTTGCCCACCCCTTCCTTGACAGGCCTGAAAGAATTATGTGTATTATGTGCAATGGGGGAAGGAGAGCCAGACTGCATGTCAGTGCAGGTCACAGTTACAATGCAGCAGATCTCACAAAGGTGTAAGGTCTGATAAGAAGCGAGTCTTCTCTACTTGCTGTGTCAAATCACCAACAGTTTATCTAAAGGTCTGTGCCCTTGAAGCACAAAAATATATTGTTTTCAAGCATAACTGGAAATACCTTTCTATCAAGAAAAGTTGCCTGGCTATGTGACTTTACATGGTGCATGCAGTTATTTTTCCAGTCCCAGAGATAATTAGCACAAGGGCGCTTTGCCAAGCTAAAGCTGAGAGAATATCCTTCACAGCCTTTCTGGGCATTTGTGTCCTTTTCCAATTTTTATGCTGCTGTCACTGGACTCTGGCATTTCTTACCTGATTCATTTGCTTTCTCTGGTAATCATATGCAATGAAGATATGCATGGCCAACATTTAAACAGGCTGCAGATCAATTAGTGGTCTTAAGTTTATCTGATTTTTATCAAAGAAGACAGAGCTTTGGGTCGATTGTCAGAGCCTGTGTCAAGTTGACCTTTTCAGAGACGTCTACATTGCCAGTCCCTTGGGCAACTTGTTGTCCCCTGTTAGTCTCTGAATGGCAGAAGTCTGTTCTGCTCAAGCACAAAGTATACACAGATGTCTATATTACATTCTTATAGGTTTGACAGCAACTGCATGTTGTATCTATAAACTGTCCTTTAGCAGTGACACTTCCTCAATGATGATAAGCTAATTTATGCAACTAAATCTCCTTTGTGCAGAAATGAAAGCTAATTGAGTCATTACAAAGTAATTCAGGAAGGAATACCTTGTATAAATTGGCTTACTTTATAAATCCTTCTCAAGTGGTTTTCATGCATCCTAAGTGGTACTTAAGCAGTTTTGCTGCCATCACATACCCGGTAAAAAAAGACAGCTTTACAGAGCTATAAAAACATTATTTTAAAACAGCAAATGGAAGAGAGAAGAAAATAAAGGTAAAAAGAAAGTGTATACACAAAATAAAGAAGAAAGGTTTTAATTACCTGAAACAGTGGTAACTTCCTCCTGGCTCTCATTGCTTGGCACTTCAGCTTTTGAAGAAAGACGTTCTTCTGCAAAACACATAACTGCAAATGAAATTCTGAAGGGCCACCTCAGCTGACAGGAATTACAGCCCACATCAGCCTGAAAAACACACTCTGTATTTCCAGACTGTAAGCCTTGTTTACTATTTTGCACTTATACAGAAGTTGGAACATTGTTATTTCTGGGGTTTCCGCCATCCATCCAAACACTCCAAGAGCTTTCTTTTAAAATCTCAGTTGTGAACATCTGTTTCCCTTTTCACTCTGGTCTGAATGCAGTCATATAGAGCTGCAGTTCTGCTGATTTTTAGTCATTCCGAAGCAATTAGAATTAGGGTCCTCTTTTGCTGCATAGATTTCTTGCCAGAAAAAGATAAAGAAAAGGAAACCAAGGTGTGAAAAAGTCTCCCCAGCCCAAGCGATAACTCAGTTGTAGAGAGCAGTATGCAACAAAGGCAAATGAAATCTTACCTTCCACACTGTCCTACAGACACAGTAGCTCAACACCTGCATGATGGGAACACAGCCACTACAGATACCATGCCCTTCACTATTCCTGCCCATTGTGCCTGACCATGTTTTAAGCAAGCCAGACTCTATCAAATGACTTAGGTCAACTTTAGGAGAGAAGAAAAGAGAAAACCTGGCAGTGATCAGCTCTAAAGCATGTTTTCTGGCTAGCAGGCTTGGAACAGTCTGAAATCCCCACAGGCAACTTCGAAAGATGTGCTCCATCCTCCCTGTCTGGCACAGACATTGAACTCTCTCAAGTCCAGACCCTCACTTGAGTAAATCCACACTCTACTCAGTACAGGGACATCAGATCTGCCCCTTGTATTTCCCAATTCTGTTGATGATGTAAAAAAAGGGAACAAACTCTTAGCTGAATCCTGTCTTTAGGTTCATAAGGAAGTAGAAACAAATTTATCTTGGCATTTACAATATATCAAAACTGACAAGGCTGCTGTACTGAATGAGGAAATTGTATATTGATAAACCCACTTCTCAAACATGAATTGGACTTTTAATACATTTAAATTCTCTGACTTGGCTACTCATCACATCATATACAGATAGTCAAGCTTCTTTTAAAGATATACATTTCAGCAACTAGTTTTGATATTTTACTAATGACAGACAACAGATGAATCACTCACAGTGTTTAAAATGTTGCTCATTGTGAAACTCTTATGTAATTGCCCATTCACTTTGACAAAGAGTGGATTTTATATCAAAAGTTCAAAGGATTTTTTAACCTTGTAAAATTCTAATCTATCCACAAGACTGCTCCTGCAAACATTAAAGCAGATGTTTAAAGCACAAGAGTAGACCTGTTGGAATAAGTATGCATAATTGCTGCTAACCTCTATACACAGTCCTACAAATATTACAATTACAACATAAGATTCACTCTACAAAGAGCTTTGAAATTCTGCCCTACTAAGCCAGTAAGATTTTTTGTTCTTGAATCTTGACTAGTTAAAAATCTGGTAGAGATTAATATAAGCTATTTTTTAAGCCAAGGTGGGGTGGAAAAAGAACAAGAAAAAAAATCCTAGCAAGAAACAAGAAAAAAAATCTGAAGCTGTAGTACACACAAAACACTCTAAACTATGTACTGCATTCAAATGTTCAAATGTATTCCCCTACTTGGCATTAACATTTGTCACACATTTCCAAGTATGCTCATCTGTTTATTTTAAGAACTCACAATTGGAGCATAAATGGCAAAAGTTCATCTCTATGTGCTCTCCAGAGCACTAGGAGGCACTGTCATTCTGTGGGTTCCCTACCATGGTTACACCCCTCACAGGGAGCAGTTCCCCAGTATCAGTCACATTTTCTAGAATTTCTCCCTTTTCCCAGCAAAAAACACCTTCATCCAACATACACGCTATCATATTATTCTTTCATTAAACAGATGTTAATATTCCCTGTTACTGAATGTTAGGACCTAAAGCACTTGCTGTGTTGAATGTCCTATGGATTTTAACTCTATCTCTAGTCATGGTCATCAGACCAGTTTAAACTGAGGACTGACTCCAGTAGAGGGTATCTCAACTAAAGTAATGCAGCAGCAAAGGTTTGAAGAGACTTTTTTGTAAGGGACTGCTGAATACATGTAAACTGCATTGTGATTTCACAGAAAATATTTAGAATATATGTATTCTTCTGAAATATTTATTTCCTAGAAACAAGAGTTGACCAGATCCACATCTGAAGATACGAAAATTTCTGAATCAAAGCTCTTTGAATTCCAAAAGGTGTCCAGGTCAAGCAAAAAACTCACCATATTTGCATATTGATTTGGAGCTCAACCATCCTCACTCATCCCACCTTGCTTTACACTACAGAGTTGTCACAGAGAGGACAAAGTTTCAGGTACAATTAGATTGGAAAAGGCACTCCAGAAGCATGGTGGACATGGTCCAGCTGCTAATGGGCATTCAGTCCATGGTATCAGGCTGAAGCAACTGCATAGGAAGCCTCATCTGAAACATGCACAACAAATATCAGGTCCTTGGCACAAACCTCTGCTTTATGAATCTGTTGCAAATGGTTCACACTGTTTGCTAATGCAATTATGTTCAGAGTGGAGCAGTTGTAGTAGGCTTGGCTTAGGGTAGTAAAAGAGAACCTGTGGTTCTTAACTCATGTTTTCTGATAGTACGGGCTGAAGCAGTAACTGCGTGCAGACGGTGTCCTTTAAACACAGCAACCTCGATTACCTCAGGAATTACAGCTGCAGTCTGATGCAACATGCATAACTTTGTGTTGCAACATGGCACAGAGTCAAAAGATTAAAAATCAAATTTAAAAACACAGTAGAAATACTTCTGGTTTTTTAAGATATTGTGCATAAGGAGTCATGCATACCTTCAAAATAATCTGTTCCAGTTTTTATATCTTCTTCACACCATCACTATCACTGCAGAGAGAAAATACTCTTTTCCACCTTCTCACTATGTCAAAATGAGACTAATCTACACTGACCAAACCAATGAACCCTTCCAGAGCTGTAGATCCTAAGAACTCCTGAGATACAGATTATGTTCCATACTATGCTGATACTTAGAGACCTTAATGGCAAACAACCTACAAAATTCTTGTGACAATGCAACAAGGAACTAAAATATATTTGTTAAAGGTTTTCTTCAGTTAGTACATCGAAGTTGTTAAAAATAATTTACTTATTTAATTTGCAGTTTGAAGAAAAACCAGAAAAATAATCACCTAATCACATATGATTCTACCATCTACAAAATTTTAAAAGTGAACAATGAACCCTACATTTGCTGAGGGTTTTTTTTATATAAATCCACATAAGGGAGGAAGGAAAAAAGACTGAACTACTTAAGTATAAAATGGTAAGTTTGGCTTGAACAGTGCATTCCTCCAATGGAATGTGGTATCTCCATGATAAACATGCATAAATTTAGCAGTTTCCTCTACTAACATGTTACCTAACCATCTTTTTACATTAGATTCTAATGTAATGCCATTATTATTTGGTATTCTATTGCCTTATAGTTTCTGACACATTCTCATTACACAATACTAGTTTACACCTTGAATAATCCCAGTTTGTGAGTTAATGTATTCTATTCAATGCTTTGATTACAGTAAACAAAACCAGCTCAGCTATGCAGCAAAATCTACCAAACCACACAGATGGTTCTAAGCTTTTCATTGTGTGGTTTCCATAGCAATCATATTGCAAATCTGGAAGCTTCTTGCAAATAAGCAGCTTGTATTTACATGCCTCTCGGCTGCAGCACGGAACACAACAACAAGTGAAGTTATTATTCCTATCACATATTGTTAGCAACATGACTGGAAGATGTTTTGATCAGTTCAGATAAAAAGTACTGCAGTGAACTAATTTTTCATCTATTTCATAATGATACAAGCAATCAGACACTTATAATGCACATTCATGTCTCTTCATTTGAAATCTCACTGTAGTGTCAGAAGGTTATAAGCACACAAACTAGTCTTGTAAGATAGACGCCCCACAAAAAATTTTTATTATAAAATAAAAAATTTTAAAAATTACACAGTGTCTTTACTATTGTACTTGGCAGGGAGAACAGATGCATGCAAAAAAACCAGGTGTGTACATGAACTCTGCTGACACTGAGTATCACAGGTCTACACTGTTCTGCCCAAGAGGAAGTAAAAAAAATAATGGCATGTTAACACCGAGACACTCCACGCTGCTTTTTTGCTGCCAAATAATGACTCCACACAAATGCAAACAAGAAATGTGTAACCCAAATAAATGCTTACCATGGGAAAGAGTCAAAATCTTTTCTGTCCAGAATTTACAGTTTTATGAATTGATCCACCCCTCATAACAGATGGATTATTACCCTAATAAGAAACATAAATCAACCCAGCTACATTTTTTTTTAATTAGCAAGAACTGGCTTTTCTAAAAACAAGAGTATTTGTTGAGAAACATTTAATATTTCCAGAAAAGCAGCAATAAATCCACAAAATTTAAGAAGAAGATTGTTTATATAGTTTGGCCAAACTGACATCTTCTGCTAGCATTTGTGGTGAGGTCTGGTGACCATCTGGGTCAAAGGAATAAGTATTAATGCCCTGTTTTACGCAGGGCCAGCAAATTGCCCTACCTGAGGTCAGTGCTCCCCAGCCATGGGGATGGAGTTCTCTGCAGCATTCTCACCTGTACAGGCCTGTACACTTCACCCAAAGTTTTAGAGTGTTTTAGCCAAAGCAGCTTCATAGAAAATCTAGTAGGCTTATTTGCCTTGGTTTGTGTATTTATAATGGCAGGGATTTTCATTTCTAGTATCTTTCAGACTCCAGATCCACCCATTATATATGAGAGAGATCTATCTGTACAAAGAGACCTTCAAATGCAATTAGCAAACTCCAACTTCGATAATCCTCCAGTATTCCCAAAGATCTGTCCCTTTCCCCCAGCTCCTCTGGGACATGGCAGTTTACTGGAAGATTTACACAAAGCTCCTTGACATTTCACCTCACCATTAGCAGCC